CAATCCCAGTATTTTCTGGCCTGCTCAGCCAGTCTTGCTTTCCAACAATGGTTACTAATCTTCCTGTTCTTTCCCTTTCCCAATTATATTCCCCATTCTTGTCCTTAGGTCTTCTTGCCAAGCCAGTTGCAATCTCCCCGTTCATTCCAACTCCTACTTATGTTTCCCTCTTCCTTAAAACCAGATTCTTATCTCCACTTATTTTCTCTGAGTGCCCCCAGAGACCCTTCTCTAGTCCTTTCTGCACTGAATCAGTTCTCCTCCTCCACCCCACTTTCTGGACCCAGACAAGAGTCACTAAGAGCACACCCAATGAGTGTATCGACTAAGGTCAGTTTTGTACCTACACCCAGCATAGCCTGTAGTTGTCTGAAATGTCAGCTGCTGAGAAAGTTACACTTGGCCTTTTGCTGGAGAATGCCTTGTATAGATAAATTCTCTGAAGACTCTAACTCTTAAATTCTCAAAAGTGTAGTGAGCATGTGGAAACTTCAGTTTTTCAAAGGCTTTCAACTTCTCCAAAAATGTGTAGATTCTCACAGGAGTGGCAAAAAGCACATCCCTAACGCACATGTTGCCTGTTGCTAAAGTCCCTGTTCCAAAGCCAGCGGTGCTAAATCTTCTCTCATAAAAGATTATTTTTTAACATGGGCAAAATATTTTTTCCTAGTTTTGTTCATGTACTATTACCAAAATAATAATCAGCCTGAGGTAGATACAGCCTCAGAAATTTCAACCCAGATATGTAATTTGGCAAAGTTATAAGCAACTGAAAACAATCCTGCCCAGCCTTACAATGAGTCATTTAACTAGTGTCCTGTTTTATTTTTCAAGTTTATGCTACTCAGTTAGGGTTTATTTTATTGTCCTGTTTCGTCTGTTTTACGTAGCCCTTTTGTCATTAGATAAGTACTTTTGGTGTTTTTCTTTCGATTAACATATGTGATAAGCCCTTTATATGACAGATGGTGAGGCTGTTCATTATGTAAAGCTGTAAGAGGCATATTTTGCTCACAGTTTAGCAAATTTTAATTTCCTACATATTCTAAGTATGTAACCTACACTGTAGTTCACTTACTTGAAGGGGGAAGGTATGTCACTTTCAGATCAAAGTTGCTTATTTTATATTATTGCTGATAGGTCATTGGGTTGGCTTATTGGTAGCCAATTTTAATTAGTTGTGGAGGGAGTGAGGGGCCGTTTGGAAAACAATCGTAAGTCACTGATACTGTTCTTTTAAATTGCAATACAAATAGTGTAGTATAAGAAATGTGAAGGGTAATAAAAATGTATTGGACATGATTTTGGTTGTATTTCTCTTTTTGAGCTCTGTAACAATGCTGTATTCTGGTTACCGATAACTGCTAATGGATCTTGAGTTTTTTAAATTGATTTTAAAGAAGAATCCTTGATCTCAAGGGAAGACATCTATGTATGGATGGATGTATATTGTATATGGCACATAAATAGATGGATGGATATATCTTATACTTGGCTGATCAAATAAGTATTTTTTGTGTTAACTAGTTAATATAATTAGATGCTGTACTTTTGCAAATGTTACGCTTGTCATTAGTAACAGGGGAGGGCATCAATTTTTAGAAGTCTTAAAATCTTAGTGGCAAATTTGATATATTTAAACTTTAAGGTGACACCCATGTACTGTAGAATGTGAAATTATTACATTAGTTTTAACTATCAAAATAGTTGTTTTGTAATAAAGACTTTTTAAAATCAAATCTGATTATTCTCTCTCAGCTTGTGAAGCGCTTACAGAATGGGAATATCTACCCCCAGTTGGGCCTCGGCCGCCAAAGGGATTTGTAGGCTTAAAAAATGCTGGTGCCACTTGCTACATGAATTCTGTCATTCAGCAACTATACATGATTCCAGCCATCAGGAATGGTATTCTTGCAATTGAAGGCACAGGCAGTGATGTAGATGATGATATGTCTGGAGATGAGAAACAGGACAACGAGGTAAAGTAATTATAGACAGCTAGGTATTCATTTCTCATACTTTCAATTCAATATAACATTTTTCAGCAAACAGAATTTTATTTTTAATGACATCTTTTCCCTACATTGTTTATAGTGTAGACAAAAATGAATATTTTGTTTCTTATTTGGAAGTACTTACTGCCAGAAAAAAGAATGAATTAATGTGTAAAGATAATTGTCTCTTTCTTCTCCAGTTTTCTCCCTTTTGGAGCGCATGCTGTTTTAGCATAATGTGTATAAATTGCAGTAGAAATCACAAAACGAGGTTACTTGTTTTCTCCAGTAACTAATTTTGAACTTTAAAGAGTATACCTAAGTCTTAATTATTGTATTTTAGTTTTTTATCTGTAATATATGTAATTATGTAATTAAGCTTCCATATCTTTATTTTAATAGAGCAATGTTGATCCACGGGATGATGTGTTTGGCTATCCACATCAGTATGAAGACAAGCCAGCATTAAGTAAAACAGAAGATAGGAAAGAATACAATATTGGAGTTCTGAGACATCTCCAAGTCATTTTTGGCCATTTGGCAGCTTCTAGGCTACAGTACTATGTACCAAGGGGGTTTTGGAAACAATTCAGGTAAAGGAAAATTTGTTTTTGGTATTAATTTTTGTTCTGTAGTATTTAATTGTGCCAGTGGAACTAGATGTAACAAAATTGCTAAGAAAAAAACAGTAGAATTTAGGTAAAAGCTTTTGTGTAAATTTAAATTTTATACAAATTATTTAGAGTGATGTAGTTATACGGCTAGAAAAATAAATAGGACTACAGTATTTTGAAGTCTTGCATTTTTTAGGTTATGACATCTGTACATTAGGTTATATTAAAAGGAATGTTTAGTTTTAGTAATCTGCTGCTATACAGTGCAATAAGTCATAGTTTGCTGTGCTCAATGAGAGGGACAAGCGGTACTGTAAATAATTATAATGAATTTTGCCTTAAAATAAGGGGGGAGGCAAACAACAACAACCCCCAGGAACTATTATTTTTCTAAAATATTTTTGGTTTTGTTTCTCTTAGACTTTGGGGTGAACCTGTAAATCTGCGTGAACAACATGATGCTTTAGAATTTTTTAATTCCTTGGTGGATAGTTTAGATGAAGCGTTAAAAGCTTTGGGCCATCCGGCTATGTTAAGTAAAGTTTTAGGAGGGTCCTTTGCTGACCAGAAAATTTGTCAAGGATGCCCACATAGGTAAGTTTTTTAAAATCCACTTGTTATAGTCAAACAGCTTATGTTTACATTGGAATGTTGTAACTAGAAGGTGGTAAAGCAAACGGTGCACATGCCTTATACAAGTCTTCAGAAATTTAGTTGAGCATATTAAAAAAAAACCAAACTGAATTTGCATTCTTCTAACAACGCTGCATTAACGGCCTAAATATTGTTTACATTTGTTGAAATGCCTTAAACTGCTGATCCTGATTGCTTCCAACTATCAGACTCTTGTTCCGTGCAACTTGGATCACAACGTATGCGTAGTGGATGCCACACTGCTTGTGCTAGAATGAGAAATGGCTTGACAGCCACATGCAGATGTTCTTATCCTATATCTGTAGCATGAGGACAAAGGTCAACCACCTTGCAACAACTTTTTTCATAGATTCATAGATTAAGGGTCGGAAGGGACCTAGTAGATCTTCTAGCCCGACCCCCCGCCAGGGCGGGAGAACAACAAAAAACCCCAAAAAACTTTATTTCTGGTGACTCCAAATCCTAATCTATTTCCACTTGTTAAGGGACATGAATACCAAGGCAAATCTTAAAATAGTATATATTTAACGTTTATATTGCTGATGCATTTCTTTGTGCCTTAATTTTAGTAGAGGTGCACCAGTACATCGGTCTGATAACAGACTGGCACCAATATTTTTTTTAAAAATTGGCTGTATTGGAAATCAGCCCAATGTGGCTGATAATGTGGCCAATAAATGCCCGTGTGTGCATGCTGCTGCAGCGCAGCACACAGGCAGCAAGGAGCAGCCCAACAGCTTGAAGAGTTGCATGCAGCTAATGAGTCTGTTGTGGTAGAAAAGGAGTGCAGAGAGGCAGATCAATGCCCCCTGCGGTTAGGGAGGGAGTGGGGCAGGGGTTGATGCTACCCAGCTGGAGCGGGGTGTAGGACGGAGCCGTGGTTTGGTGTGGGGTGGGCTGCAGTTGCAGAGTGGAGCTGCAGCTGTGATGGGCTCTTCTTGGCAGGGACTGGGCTTGGGGTGGGTAGCAGATGGATTAAGATGGCAGAAGGTCAAAAATACGGAACTCTTTTTACTTAAGAGTTGCTGGGTTTGTGCCATTTCTGCCCAATATCCCCAGAAGGGACAGACGCGTTCTCCCACAATACACTGTGAAAGCATTTGTAGAACAGCAAAGTTTACGAGAGTGTTTTGAACCATTTGATCTGTCCCCAGAAGTCATAACGCAACACTGAGTGAGCGAGCAGAGCACCAGAGCTGACAGAGGGCATTGGAGTGATTCCCCTTCT